CAATCTAGTTTCTCAGCATCGGAAAAATGAAGTCCCTCAAGCATGATTTTCACGTCATTGTGCCAAAGGTCTACAGTAATAGAACCTTCTTCGGCTTTACCTCTAAACTCTGGTGCTCCTAAGCCCTTCAACTCCTTTGCAACATTCATTTTCGGAGTTAAAGTAGTAGAAGGTTGGAAATGCGTCAATACCGCGTCCAATATCCTAAAGAACACATCTTGATCAGCTACAGGCACTCCCGAGGGTGCCTGTTATTCACTCTGCCTGGCCAGGGCAGTGAATTACTGCTTTCAGCGGGCCTATCATCTCCCGCTTCACTTCTAGAGCTATCATGTCCGAACATTTATAAAAACACAACCATATCATTCTATTAGTAACACAACATACTTACTATTCTATCAGATAAGAAGTTTTCACTATTTTGTTGGCATGTATACATTATACGACACTCTAGACTCCGGTTTATGCCGAGAATCGACTAAACCTTATATCTGATTCCATTAAATGTAACATCCCTAACCTGTACCCGACCCGAATACGAGTCCGAGATGTCACATTGCCTTTTTAAAATAATATTCTTTCCAAATAACATAAATTTTGAACTTATATTAAGAAAATACGATAATATACTATTAAATTATGTTCGTTATAAAATTTTGAGGCAAAAATGATTCCCTGCTACAGGGTACCGATTCCCCTGCTACAATATTGCTACAGTACTTCCGTTAAACATACATAAAACTCGTAAAAATTTACCCTTTCATTACTATACATTTACATTAATACGTTTAAAACATTAGAAAAGTCGTTCAGAGCGTTCGTATTAAAACATTTCTTACATGCCAACATACTATATACAATCAAAATACATACTTTATTAGTTACTTCTGATCTGATCTTCTAGCAGTGTTGTTATTCTTGCCACTCCTATTTATGTTATTCTTGGTTCTTGGTACCTACGTATAAATCACCTACACGCTAAGTCATAGACTTAGTGAGGCATAATAAAATATATAACAATGAATTCATGAAACGTGCACTTTTATCGTTCAATCGTAACATTATAACCTGCATGTATCCATTACACTACAACATATATGATCATGTCATGCATATATGAAATTTATCGTCTTATGCAAGTTTCACTTTACTTTATCTTTGTATTGCCCATGTACATTATTGAGAACAGGAGGTAAATGAGTACTCTGAGGTTGTGCACGAATGTTGTCACCACAGCTTGAATAAATTCCCACTAGGACACTGAATATTTGTCCTGAAGGACTTCTATGTCCCGAAGAACCACTATGTCCCGAAGGACCACTGTATATCCCTCGACTCTTGGTATGCCAATTATACCTACAACTCTCACACTAAATAACATGGGCTTAAATATGAATACATTTCTCATTTTCATATCTTTTTCATCACTTTTCATATAAACACATATTTCACTTCACATGTACACATATGATCATTTCCATTATTTCACATACCTGGATTAATTCTCTGACAATTGCATTCTTTCATATAATATCATATTAAAGCATAAATGAATTATGCATGAAATCACTATATCCAATATATATATATATATATATATATATATATATATATATATATGGATGCATGTACATGAATATGAAATCATAAATTCAACTATAAAAGATAAACTTATCGCAAGTCTTATCTCCATATAATTTTATCTAGTATGTGCACTCACCTTAGCCTTGCTTACTTTGACTCGATTCTAATTCTTCGAGTGTTCCGGAACATGATTACGTTCTATATCTACATAATAATAAATTGATACATATCAGTATACTAATAACATATCCTAAACTTTCATTTCTTAAACTAAAGGAAAGGTAATTTCATTGCTTATTTAAAATAAGTATCGGTACCTATTGAATGGGTACCGATTCCCCTGGCCTAGAGTTCACATTTTTAGCACGTGATTTACTTCATTTAAGCTCAATACTTCATATTTCCTCCCCTTTAATAATCCTAACTTACATACACATGATTAGCCTCACTAATATTCATTTATCCCATCTTTAACCTCAATATCCTCTCCTCTTCATGAAATTCAAGAATCATACTCAAATTTCAACATGTTCTAAATTCAATTCTAACACTTCTTATGTCTTAACTAGATTGATGACAAGTCAAATCCAACTTCTAAATTCATTTAAACCCTCTTATTCAAAATTTCACTTTGAAACTCATTCCCTTTAATCTTCTATAACTCAAAACTCTTTGAGTTTCTAAGTCCCTTTTTCCTTCCATCATGTTTCCTAAATCTTCATGAATCAAAACCATGCTTGAATTTGAAGGATTAACCCAAAGAAATCAAACTTACCTTGAGCTTGGATGCTTCACGTTTGAGAGAAGAAGATGAAGAAAGAAGGAAGAAGAAATGAGAGAAATCTGGAAACATTTGTTTCATACATAAGCCCCGTATGGGTTTATAAGATAACCCCCAATTAATATTTTATTCATCACCTTGTTCAATGACCCTTTTACTTTTCCTTTATTTGCTAATTAATCCTACACCAACATCTTTCAATTAATTCTTTCACCTTTCAATTTATTTATTTTGGTCATTGAATTTAAAAATCTTACACTTAAATCACTAACCTGATATTGAGGATGTTACATTCCATGTTATTCAAACTTAATTCTAACACTTATAACTTCTTATTCTCATATATGAAAAGTCAAATTCAACCTCCAACTTCATTTAAACCCTCTTATTCACTTCCTATCTTTAATCCTTCATAACTTACAAATCTTTAAGTTTTTATGACCTTTTTCATTTCCATCATCTTTCCTAAAGCTTCATGAATCAAAACCATACTTGAATTCAAAGGATTAATTAAAAGAAATCAAACTCACCTTGGGCTTGGGTGCTTCACGTTTGGGAGAGAAAGAAGAAGATGAAGAGAATTGTTTGGAAACATTTGTATGTTGTTTTTTTTAAAAAAAAATACAATATAAAAATTTTCATGTATTTAAGGTTCATGTTTGAGTTTGAGGTTTTAATCGAGTTAAATTTAAGATTTTTTTCATTTTGAGCTTTTTACGAGTTTCAGTTCATGATTTCGAGTTCGAGTAAAACTTGAAAAATGAACACTAATCCAAATATTAGTGACCATTAACGTAGTTTACTCTTAAAAGCATTACTTTTATGAGTAAATCTTATTTAAATTATGATATCTTTGAGTCACAGTACGTAAAACTATTGAAATCAATTTGGTCAAAGCTAAATAAATACTCGACTCGAGATCGCGAGCTACTCAAGATCGTGTGTTACTCGAAATCGACTCGGTCAAAGCTCAATAAATACTCAACTCGACTTCGCACATGGGGTATTTAAGAATTTTATTTAGTCTATAACTCACGTTGTACAACATAACATGTCATTAAACAATACATTAAACAACAACAACAACAATAAAACCCTATTCATATATGCAATGGGGTAAAGGGGAGGTAGGGTAGTAGGCTGCCCCCCAACGCCAGGATGAGAGCAACTTCCGTGGAAAACCTTCGACATTCAGAAATAAAAATAAAAAATAAAGATAAAATACAATGCATGTATAAATAAATAAATACATAGTTGAACAGTCTTCATATGCAGAGGATACACAGAGGTCAGCAATAGCAAGCTACGAGAATGAATAAAGTCAAAATGGTTTAAAACCTAAACTAATGCAACACTACTTCGCTACCCTAGTTCTAGGCCTTCAAAAATTCCAATGACAGAAATGTATAAAAAGTAGAGGTCATGGGAATTACTACAAAGGCAATTAAAAAGAAGACAGAGGTGCTACACCCTATGGCTGTGACCCACACTACTCGACTACCCTGGTCTTAAGTCTCTATACTTTCCTATCAGAGGTCATTCCTCGGTAAGGGCTAAATCCTTCAAATCAGATCTAAAGCAGTTTACCCACTTCCTCCTTGGTCGTCCTCTCCTTCTGGCACCTTCGACTGTAATCGACTCTACCCTCCTGACCGCATCCGACGGTTGTCGCTTAAGGACATTCCCAAACCACCGTAGTCTTCCCTCCCTCAATTAGTTAAATTATTTTTATTAAATAAATATTAAAAAAAATTATATGCTTAATACTTACACTGTCATTTTTATTTAGTTTCAGTACTCAATTTTATTTTTTTCAAAACCATTAACGATAATGTGATATGGCATGACATGCAAATTTTTTTAATTTCCACATCATTTTTTAATCTCCGTTAGTATTTTTAATTAATTTTATTTAACCAATTAAATGATGACATGCTTAGCCAATTATGAAGATAAAATAAAAGAAATTATTCTTGCTCTTAAAATAATATAACTAGTGATACATTTTAGTACGTTACTTTAGTGATATGTTACGGTATACGACGTGACCTGTAAAATTTTCCTTAAAAGTAATATTTTTTGCACAACTATATTGAATTAGTCTACGAACTTAAACAATTTTTTGTATATAAAAGATTGTTGAGAATTGGAATATAAATGTTAGCAGTGACAGATCTAAAAATTAAAAAAAAATGAGATCCAAAATTTTAACGCTCTATTTTAAAAATTTTAGGTATACAAATTTTCTTATTTTTTTTATTTTCATTAACAAATTAAATTTAATTTAATAATTTTCTCAAAATAATAAACGTACCTGCTAATCAGTCTACCAGTTGAAAGGTAAATATATTTATCGTAACATTCTAATATTTATGTATTACATCGTTTAAAGACAAATAATGAACGAGGTTTAAAAATGTGATAACTCTTAAAGAGATTTATATATATATTTTATTAAGAAATGATTTATATTTCATTCTAATATATTGACTCAATTTTATAAAAATAAAATATATTAACTGAATTTTCAAATAATATAAATACATATATATTTAAACTCAAACTAGAGCTAGTAAAGGATATGGATTATGTGCAGTGGTCTTCACATAACAACATAATACGTGGCAGCCCCCAAAATATTTGAGAATTCCGATTTTCCATTTTCTTTTTTCCGGGGAAAATCCACGCATTCTCTGCCATGAAACTCTAACTCAAACCCGATAAGGAAAAAAAAAAAAGAAGTTACAGTGCTCAAAGATGAGCTCTTTCAGCTTCCAAATCCCTTCCATTTATTTCTCCCCTTCTCGAAGCACGACATTCCCATTCTTCAATATTACATCTCAACACAAATCAACCAACAATCCCAGGCTTCGTAAGGTAATTAAAAACTTCCTTCCATTTTGTGGTATTTTTGCTTTAACTTGTGCAATTTTCTCACGCTTTCTGAATCTTTCAGAAACCCAATGTTATAAACATCAAACGAGACCCAAATGATTACTCTGATGCAAAGAAGACAAGCTTGGCTATTTCAATTGCTGCCCTTATTTCCGCGGTGAGATATTAATCTTTTTTCTCTGTTCTAATGCATGGGTCATGTAAATGATGATGAAGGGTTTTTTTTGTACCAGTTTGAGCAGCCGACATTAGCTGTTACAGGGGTAAACAATGAGCCAGATCTGATCACTGTGATAATTCAGCTGGGAATTATTGCTTTTTGGTACTTCCTTGTCATGCCGGTAAGTATAATATATATGTTACAATCGTTTTCCCTGCCTCTGAATTTGATAGTATTATTTTTTGGTTTTTGCTTAATTTCTGAAATGGCAGCCAATCATCATGAACTGGCTTAGGATAAGGTGGTATAGAAGAAACCTGTTGGAGATGTATTTGCAGTTCATGTGCGTCTTCATGTTCTTTCCGGGGTGAGTTTGTGCATTCTTTATAGCTTCTTTTAGTCATTTTCACAAACACAAGGTAAACTTTAGGAAAATCTGTATGTTTCCATTGAAATTTTACGTGATTCAACTTTGAATTCAGGCTACTGCTATGGGCACCGTTTTTGAACTTCAGGAAGTTCCCAAGGGATCCATCCTTGAAGTATCCATGGGATACACCTAAAGATCCTTCACAAGTCAAAAATGCATACGCCAAGTATCCCTATGCCAAGCCTGAAGATTATGATGTCTAATTGGTGAGATGGTTACAAATATTCATAGCCTCTCTAATTCTTGTTCTTGCTTGTATATTATACAGCTTGAGACAATCCAAGAAACTTGTTCAATTTTAATTTACAAAGATTTCGTTTATTTATAGGCGTAATGCTAAAACTACCCTTATCATTTGCCCGAATGGTTGTTTTAACATTTTTTTAAAGTACTTTAGCCTTCAACATTTTAATTTTTGTCATAATGACCCCTATTGAATAAAAATAGTTAGTTGACTAATAATTAACGCATATTATTGATGTGACATTGTTACATATGTTTAATTGCTTACATATAATGTTTTATGTCATCTAAGATGATGATGTGATATATGTTTATATCACTAAAGAAGATGACATGTCATATCACTCAAGAGGATGATATGTCATATGTCATATTACTCAAGATGATAACATGATGTGTCACATCAACAATCGAGCACATATGAAAATATTAAGTCGTCAATATATTTTGACTACTAGTTAACTAATGGATTTTATCCGATAGAGACTATTTTGATAAAAAAAAATTGGAACATTAAGGATTTAAACACTAAAAAAATAAGTGTTAAAATGATCATTCAACTAAATATTAGGGGTTAATTTTACCATTATACATTATTCATAAAGCTTGTTTATGTCATTGCCATAAATACATTGAAAACATGCTACCATGGTCATCCAAGATAAGCATTATTGGGATTCTTAATTTATTTATAAATTCATAAAATATATTTTAATGGGAAGAGATCTTAATATTGAGGAACTTATGAATCCATGCCTTCGGGTTCCTAGCTTCCTTCATTCTTGACCTCTCACCATATTTCATGCACTCACTCCTTGGTTTCTTGCACAACACGAAATTCCTCGCCCCATGTCATCCAATCGTCTCCCATGAACTCAGTGCTGCAAAAAAAAAAAAATGTAAACAATAATACATTCTTCAAGCAAACCAAACAAATGTTTATCAACTAAAAGCAGTACAATTCGAACAAAAAAACTCGTCATCCGATCGATCACTAGGGCAGTAAAGGAAGAAATACTTCATATCAAATCCAAGAACAGGAAGTCGACCCTCACGAGCATATGCTTTCAAAACTGTATCAATGACACATTCAACAAGCTCTTCCTCATTAACAGTGAACTGAATTGGCCCTGAACTTCCAAGAACAGTGATGCTAACCAAGAGCCTGTAGCCCTTGGGACCCGATTCTTCTTCTGCTTTTAAACCAACATTTCCCCCCAGTTTTTTTTTTAATATGAATCCAAAGAAATATAAAAAAGCGAAGGAATATTTATTAGAGAGTTATCAAAAAGGGATTGGGGGTGGTGTTGTTTATGGATTGAGGCCGAGACAGCGATAATACTAGCCTTCTCTACAAGAACCAAATGTGGAAGTGTTGAGGTTAGCTTAGTTACAGGAAGTCAGTTTGTTATCATGGTAGTTAGACAGTTTAGTTTGTTTACTTTCTTATATAAATATCTTTGTATTGTAAACTTAATTTAGATGAATGAAATACAAAAGTATTCTTTATCTTCTCTGGGTTATCACAAATTTAACATGGTACCGAGAGGACTATTTTTTTGTCCCGGGGCTATTGGGTTTGTGTGGGCTAGTGATTTGGGGGTGGTTTGTGTGGCTGATTTTTATTTTTGTTTTTCTCACGTGTTCTTTTTCATGTATCTCTGTGCTTTTCTCCCCCCCCCCCAATTTTTACGATTCTAGGATTTCATTTTCAGTCGAACTGGCACCAGCGACGGATGAGACGGTTGTGGATTTTAACCATCCACTATATCTACACCCACTTAATACACCGAGACATTATTGGTCTCGCATCAACTCACGGGATCGGAAAATTACAACATATAGAGTCGTTCGATGAGGATAACGTTATTGGTAAAGAAAAGTTGGGCTTTGTTGATGGTGAGTGCGTGAAGGATGATTATCACGTTTCTTTGCTCCACAGTGGGAGCAGTGCAATGCCATCGTTTTGTTTTGGATATTGAATACGGCGAGTTGAGATTTATCTACCGGTATTTGTTTTTACTTCGAATGCTTCGTTAGTTTGGAAGGATTTGCATGAATGTTTTGATAAAATAAATGGTTCACAGATTTATTTTCTTCATCGAGAGATCGCAACTCTTAGTCAAGGTAAATCAACTGTCTGTGTATTATACTCTTTTGAAACTTCTCTGGGATGATTATAATGCTCTCATTCCTTTTTATAATTGTAGTTGTGAAGTGTCGCAACAAAATCTCCAGCATCACGCTCAACAGCAACTCTTCCAATTCTTGATGGGATTAAACGAAACCTATTCGGTTATTAGGAGTCAAATCCTTCTCATGCAGCCTTTACCTATGGTGAATAAGGCTTATTCGATGATTTTCCAAAATGAGTCTTAAAGAATGCACTTGAATGATTTCACACCATATTCGGATTCTACAACACTTTAACCGAAAACATTTGGATCTTCAGATCATAATCGATTTCAAGGAGTTTGTGATTACTGCAAAATAAAGGGGCACAATCGAGATAACTGCTACAGATTGATTGGTTTCCCAACTATTATAAGTTCAACAAAAAGAAGGCGACTCAAGCAGCAATGGTAAATAGCACTAAGGATTCAGTTGATTTGGAGCACAAGGTAGGACATGTTGATAATCAACTACCTGTTTCAAGTGCTTACTCTATTCCTTCAAGTGCTTCAAATTGCTATAGTGAATCTTGCAGGTACATGTTCTAGTGCTTCATCTTGTTCTGATAAATCTGTTTCTTGGATTACAGATACAGGCGCGATACATAATATTATGTCTGATTCAAGAACTTGAATTTCCCTGATTTGTGTGCTTCGCATTTTGTCCATACACCAAATGGTAAAACCGGCCAAATTGCCAACAATGGATCTTTTCCCTTAAGCCCTTCCCAGTCTCTTCATAATGTACTTTTTGTTTCACAGTTTAAGCATAATTTGTTATTTGTTCCAAGACTCACTTGAGAAAATAATTGTTCTGTCATTTTTATCCGAATTTTTGTGGTTTTAGGACCTATGCACTAGAAGGACGAAGCGGATTTATAAGAAGTCAAAAGGGCTATATTTTTTCGAGTCACCTGCTTTGAATTCTAGTTTGATTTATGAAGCTTCTTGTAATTCTTTTTTATCATCTAATGAGTTTTGTGATGATAGTCTTGTTTCATCCTTTTGTATGACTTTTGTTTCTAATAAGAATATTCATCTTTGGAATGGCTATTTGGGCCATGCTTCGACATCTATAACGAGTAAAATGTATTCTTTAATTTTATTTTGTCTAATGAGAAGTTGTGTACATGAATGTCTTGTTTGTCCCTTATCCAAATAAACTAGGCTTCCTTTTCCACAAAGTAGTTCTAGGGTCACTTTTCCGTTTGACATAATTCACATTGATTTTTAGGGGCTTATAGAATTTCTACACACAATAGGGAATGTTTTTTTCTTACTGCGGTTGGCGATCATACCCGTATAAGTTGGATCTTTTTGCTTTGCCTTAAGAGTGATGCCATCTTATCTATTAAAAATTCTGTCAGCTTGTCAGAACACAATTTTTCAGTCACCATTAAAATCATGATGAGTGATAATAGTTCCGAATTTTTCAGCAATGAGTGTTCGATTTTTTCTCTTCCTTAGGGGTCATTCACCCAAATTCTTGCGTTCACACTCAATAAAATGGGGTTGTTGAATGTTAGCATCATCATATTTTGGAAGTAGCCAAACCCTTCATTTTTATTCCCAAGTACATTTGAAATTTTGGGGTGAATGTGTCTCTATAGCTTGTTACCTTATAAACAGACTACCTACTTCAGTATTGCAGTGGAAAACTCCATTTGAGACTCTTTACAAAAAGTTCATGATCTTTCACATTTAAGAGTATTTGGATGTATAACTTATGCCATTAACACCAATTATCATAACAAATTCTCTACTAAAGTTGTTCCATCTATTTTTTAGGGAATTCAAGTACACAAAAAGGATATATTCTATTGTCTTGTTTCTAAATCGTTGTTTGTCAATAGGAATGTTATTTTTCACGAAAATGTTTTCCCTTTTTCTTGTTCACAGCTTCCAGATTCTCTTTTTTTCCCTCCTCAACCTCAGGCTCCAAAATTTGAGTTTTTAATCATTCATGTTGTCCCATCTGTTTCAGATTCCAGACCTGTTTCACCTAGTGTTCCTTCTTTGTCTCTTTTCAGTCCTTCACCAAGTGTGTCACCAAATGTGCCATCTTTTAGTCCATTGTCTGTTTCACCAGATGAGTCCTCATTGTCTTCTTTTATTTCTGGTACTGATTCTGTTCTAGTCCAGCAAGTTCATCATTCATTTCGGCGTCCAAACCACCTAATTGATTGCAGAATTATGTGTATACTTGTCAATCCGCTTCGCCTCCAAATTCTTCCTCGATTGCTCAGTATCATATTTTTTTATTACATTACATATTCTCATTTACCAGCTCACACGCAATTATTTCTTTCTTCCACAACCACTTTGTTTAAGCCTTAAGCTTACCATGAAGCTGTCCAAAATCCCTTATGGGTTAATGTAATGCCCTAATCTGGCCCAGTCCGAAAATCGATGGATTAAAACCTTATACGAGACCACCAAAGTGGCTAACCAAATTTTTTTTCTTTTTAAAACGACATTCAACATGATTAAATCAAACTCATAAAAATAAACATGATTTTAAAACATACAAATTTAGTGTTGTAATTCCCCAAATATCAGGTTAGTAGTTTCAGGCTAACTTGAGAACAATAAAATAAGCCTAATAAGCTTATGGAATGACTTGGACCAAGTTATGAATGGAAGTGGGATTGTGTTAGGCTCAAATGGTGAAAAAGATCCCATTTTAATATCTAAAGGGAAGTTGGAGGACTAAAAGGAACATCAGCCCTCTTTTAAACCAAAAGCTAATTTGTTTTAATGATGATAATGTATTATGTTTTACCCACTCCCCCTATTCACCCCCATTTTCATCCTTTTTATTCCCTATCTTCTTCTCCATCTTCTTCTCCTTCAATAAAACTATCAAAGGTACAAACTTGATAAACCTCCAAGCTTATTTTAGAAATTCTAAGGTAAGAATCACAATCTACTCACCTCAAGGTTTCATTTGAACCCTAAATCTCAAGGTTTGGTTACAATAGTCATAAATGAAGGTTTAAAATGGGTTTAGAAAATTAGGGATTCTAGCTCTTTTTTGGGTAATATGAGTTTAGGAAGGCGTTCTTAGACTTATTTTGGTCTTTTAACCAAGTTAGTAACTCATTTCCCTATGTTATGTTTGTGAGAGAGATTGGAGAAAGTTCCAAAACCAAAAGAAAAAGGAAGTTAGCCCTTGATTGATTTGGGGATGTTTTTCTATAGTTGAACATCAAGGTAACACATTTCTAACATCTCTATATAATTTGTGGATCATTTAGTGCCTTTACTTAGCTTGCATTAGATATGAAGCATATGAGCATGTTTATGGTAAATCCTAGTTTATGATGTTTATAAGCACGGAAAATGACTCTTTATGACCCCAATTGATATACATAAGACTTAAACATCCTTAATGGCCTTGAGGGGGATAAATGAGTAGGATTAAATTGCCTTTTCGTGCCCAAAATAGGGCCTTGAGGGGGATATTGTTCATTAGCTAGCTTGATAGAAGGGAGTTTTAGAAGGGTAAGTTTCGATACTCTATGTAGGTCTGATTTCAATACTCACAAGGTAGTATCGATACCGTTTTAGACTTAAGATTCTAGTAGCTGATTTTGGTACCAATACTCAAGAGAGTATTGATACTATGGTGAGGGTACCAATACCCTAAATAATGTATCAATACTCATCTAATTTTTCAACCATCGAAACCATTTTTAGTATTGATACCCTAGAGATCAATATCGATACTGTAAAGCCAATCCGATACCCTCATCTTGAGTAGGTTAAGAAATCCATCTTATCTCAAGTATTATAGCAAGGTCATTCAATCTCCAAAAATAAGAATCCAAGTGAGAACATTACCATGACTATAATTAAATCTAGAAACGCAATTCAATTAAGAACTCATTAAACTAGCCTTGTATGACGTTTGGGAAACAATTGGGACACCCGAGGCACTCTAGTTATAAGATGATCGTTTGTATGCTAGAATGCCCGGACATGTCCCAGTTAGTACACAAGTCACTAAAATGTTGACGGGGCGTGTAACACCTTCAACTCATATTTATACCAAATACAAGTTAAGGATGTCATATTGTTTCTGTATAACAG